AGTTACAGCTACTGCTGCAACTCCAGCTTTCTGATGAAGAACCTGAGACAAAGAAGATTTAAAGTAACTTGCCCACAGTCGTGGAGCTAGTGGTAGATAACTGGATCTCCCAATTCTGGATCCAGTGCTTGGATTTCCTGACTATCCAGGGTGACTTTCTTTTCTATAATACACCTTGCTTGTACCAGGGGAACTAGAAGACTCTTAAGGGGGTTCTTTCTTAAACACAACAACTAAATTTAATAGATTTTATAACCTCACAGATGATATTTTCCTCCCATTAACAGTCACCTTCTTTTCTACTGCAGCTAACCCATTCTTTTTCCTCAGAGGAAGTACCAAAAAATGACAATACATGGCGTAGAGATGACTTTTATAAGTAGTTTTAATCATTATTGTGAGAAAATAATTTTGACTAGTTTCCACATTCTATTACCAATACAATATCCTAGGCAGGCCTGTAATAAAACAGACAATATAGGTGATTTAAGGTGGGAAAGAAAATGAAGAATTTATTTAATGTGTTAAATTTATCTCCCCTTGCAAAGTCCATTTCTAGTTCAATTTTCCTTTGGTCCTGGTTTTGATATATACTCCTCCTTTTCCCCTATTGATCTTTAATTCTGTTCTACTTTCTCAATAACTTATTAATGGTTGGAGGTATAATTTATTCATATCTGATCTCTATACACATGCGGAAAATGTACTCTGGCTTGATAAGGTGGTTTTGGAAATTTAACAATTTTCAGACCATTTACTGAATTGGGCTTGAGGTAAACAGGTAAATCTTATAACCAATTGGTCATGTACTCTATTATCCCTGCTAGGAAATCTAATGACTTGATTAGCTAATCGATAACTGAGTTTTAACATGTACCATACTCAAAATCACAAATTTCTCTCAGCAATAGTGGCTTCTAAATATAGGGATCTTGGCCTGATGACCTAGAAAGTTCATAGGGCTCATTAACACTTTCTCCAATTCAACGAAATCTTTTTCTTTTTTTTTTTTAAAGATGACTGGTAAGGGGATCTTAACCCTTGACTTGGTGT